CTGCTGCTTCACGACAACGCAAAACCACACACTGGACAACAAACAACCACTAAGTTAGATGAGCTGCAATATGAATACTGCTATTAATAACCATAAGTAAAAATATATTTTTAACAAATGCAAATTGTTGGGCGTTTCATGGCCAAAAATGGCCACTCCCATTTATTAGTCCTTGCAAAGTTGGTGGTGTTTCCCTTAATTACAACCTATTGAAGTCTACTTTTGAACATAGGCATCCCTTTAGATTGCGTCATAGGGGAATTTTGCCGTAGTTTTTTATAATTTTGAGTCGTTTTTTTATAATTAAAAATGGACTCACTCTTGACCAAGATTTTGACTCTTGATCCGGCCCAAAGGCTAAGATGAAGTCTACAATGAAGCGAGTTTGTCCAGGAGAAGCCTATTAACACGCACCCTGAAGAGGGTAAGTTTATACACACTCGGAAAAACAGACGCCAGCAGCGCCCATTCCACTCCCTGGCTGCGCGCATTATAAAAAAAGACATAGCGCTTAGTGTGAATATTCGGTCAAGCATGTGTGTATGGTAACCTGCAGTACGTGTGGTCTTCCGATAGGAGGATGGAGATGGCGGCATGATCTTATGAAGCTTGTATATCGAGAAGATGTTGTTGCCAATCTTCTGTTTCAGTTTTCCTCTATTGCCTTTTACGATATCCACGGAACGTTACAGGATAGTGGATATTCTTACACTGCCTCTACACGGTGAAGGTGTTTCCATTTACGCAAATTCGTAAAATAAAACTCCCTCTCAACATCATAACCTTTAGCAATATCTGTGTCTACCAGATTCCTTTAAGGTGCAACTAATTTGAACCGAGTACCATTGTAAAGATCTTCATTGAAAATATATTTCATAAGCTCGAAGCTCGTTTCCAGTAAAAAGGGTCTAAGGATCTCTACACTCACCATACAAAACACAGCAGCATTAAGCTACTATTTTACGCTTGTATTCTGTGAGAGCGTCGACCTTCCCTGGCCTAGCCGACCCAATCGTGCTACAACTACACGTAAAAACGTCATGTCAGAATGGCATTGAGATGTTGGTCGAACCAGTAGGCATACTATATATGACAAGATAAAAACTGCTAAATCTACTTTGGCGATCTATTAAGTACATATCAATTTACACAGGATACAAGGCAAATTATATAACAATATTTAACGTATTTGACACATTAGAAATAACGCTTAGAATTTTTCATAAATCAAATTGCGCTCAAACCCATTAAAAGCACGTCATCTTGCAACTACTTGTCACGCACTACGAGTAAGTACAATCCGTCTTATATTGGTACCAAACAACACAGAAATATTGTATGTATTGTGTTGTATGCTAGTATAGATTAATTTTAAAAGCTTGAACGTTTTAAAAAATTAAAATTTACCATTGTCGTAAAAGGCTGAACCAAAATTAATCAATCCGAATAATTTTAAGCTTTTGTGGGTAATATGGATTCAATACATCATTTACGAAAGCTTCTTCCAAGCCTTTCGATAATGTAAGTAACTTTTGATAAGTTAAACGTTAAACATTTATAAAAAAATTCTGACCGTTCATCAATTCGACGAAATTTGACAGTGACAATTGCTGTTCTGCATTAATTAATAAATTTATAAAATAATAAAGTCTATCCTCCACCTTTCTAATATACTCTACTCCACAGAGTCAGTAATTCATTAACGGAGAAATGTATAGGATATTACGAAAAGTACCAGAGAATATACAAGGACTCTTATCAAGTATATATATTTTATTAAACAAAATTTGTGTGAAAAGGGTATGGTCTGGGTCTGTATTATAATATAAATGAATACATGGTTGATTCATTTTTGACCTTGGGAATAAAGTGATCGCTTTCAAGCTGTTTTTAAGTTAGTTTCGTAAGTAGTTTTCACAGCCTGTGTTTAATTGTAAAATATCACTGTGAAAAAACAAGTTCCACTGGATTTCTTGGTGGCTCTTACCAGGACAGAGGTTTTTCCGAACCAATGGTAACAGTAAAAAAACAAAGATGCTGCTACCACCCCTCTACGAGGGGTGAACCAAAATTAATGATAATTGGTTACTTCAGGTCCGCATAAAAATCTAAAAAAAATAGTTTTTGCTTGCTTATATCCTCACTACATCAGCCTAAAAAAAATCATATAAATAGATCACGATTTCCGGGAGATACATTCATTTGAATACGAACTGTCAAAGAGATAACATCAACATGGAGAAAAACTAATAAAAGCTGTCATCAAGTACCTCTGTTTGAAAAAAATGTCTTCAAAAGACATAAACAGTAACTTAGTGGAAACATTAGGGGACTCTGCTCCTCCATATTCTACAGTTGCACGCTGGGCCAAGGAGCTTAAACTGGGCAGAACATCCACTGAAGATGAACATCGCGAAGGACGCCCATCCACGTCCCTCACTGAAGACAACGTGGAAAAAGTCGAAGGTGTTGTGTTGGCAGATCGAAGAGTGACCATCAGACATGTAGCTGAGGTCACGGGGATCTCATATGGCAGCGTTCAAAGAATCCTTGCGAACGAGTTGCATATGAAAAAGGTCTCTGCGCGTTGGGTACCCAGAATGTTAACCGACGAGCAATAGAAAAATCGAGTTGTTATTTCGAGGGTCAATCTCGAAAAGTTCCAAGTAGATCAAGAAAAGGTTTTGTTCCGTTTTGTGACTATGGACGAGACCTGGATCCACCATTTTGATCCTGAAACGAAACAACACTCGATGACTTGGAAGCGAGCCCCCTCACCGACGCCAAAAAAATTCAAAGTTTCAAGTTCGGCGGGAAAGGTAATGGCATTGGTTTTTTGGGACGCTCAAGGAATAATTATGGTGGATATCTGGAAAAGGGAGCCACTATTATGGGCTCTTACTACGCAGACCTAATAAGAAGATTACGGGAGGCCATTAAGGAAAAAAGACGCGGCAAACTGCGAGCTGGAGTGCTGTTTCACCAAGACAACGCACCGTCAAGGCAAGAAATTCAAAGACGATAGCGAAGTAATGGCCGCTGTTGAAGCGTTTTGGGAGGGTCAAGACAAAGAATTTTTAAAAAGGGAATCCTGGGTTTAGAAAAAAGATGGACTAATTGTATTGATTTGCTAGGAGACTATGTAGAAAAATAAATTATTATTTTAACTTTAATTACCGTGTTTTATTTTCATTGTCATTACTTTTTGATCACCCCTCGTATATCACTTTTCTTATGTCGCCTCTTTCGACACCTACAAGATAATATGAGGTAATGCAATATATTACGCCGCTGCTACACAGCTTAAAATAAAACTAAAACATGTAAATTTCTCTTTCATTAAAATGCGGGTCGAAAGATCTTATTTCTTGTCTATTGTATAAACAGAGGTTTTGACATGGAAATAAGATTGTCGTCGCCGATGCAAATTGCTGAATAATCCGCTTGTTGAAATGCCATGACAATGAGGCAGACCGTCATTGTCGTTTGCTTCGGTCTCTCCTGATGTGCTGTATTGATTTTTACTTATTGTTTCTATCATTTGCACATTTGTGATAACAACCTAAGCGAACACAACAATACAAACAAACTCTATTATGAATCCATAATGCGGATGCGTTTTCACCCCTGGGCACTAAAATAAAATGCCTCGTTCCCAGCAAAAAGGGCCTCTGGTTCTTAACGCTTACCATACGAAACACAGCAGTATTAGGCCGTTATTTTACGCTGGTAGTCTGTGGAGCGTGGTCCTTTTCCGGTCGAGCATACTGCTAAAGCTTTAGCGTAGTTCTATCACGTCTTCGCTTCTTCGAGATATACGATCGGCTACCTATGCTGGCTATTACTTCAGCTTACTGATCCGCTGGGCTATGTCAGAATAATTACTCTTGTTTTTCTGTGGGTTTTCCTGTCACTTAGGATTTCTTTTTCGCATAGATAATTTCCCGTAATAATCCCACTCGCTGAGTGACTTTAACCTTCCCCATACGGCCAACAGTGAAGGATTTTCAGTTCCAATTCAGTTCAGTTCAGTTTTAGTTAAATTAAAAGGCCAAATTGGCCGCCATAAAGCTTGGCGTGCTCAACAGAGCGGGACAGTATTTCATGCCGGCTCCCCGCCTGCAACTTTACAAGGCGCAGGTTCGGCCGCATATGGAATACTGTTCCCACATATGTGCTGGGGCTCCCCAGTGCCTATTTCCATTTGATCGTATACAGCGCAAGGACATTCGAATCGTCGGCTACCGAGCTCTTTCCGATCGGCTCGACTCACAGGCACTGCGAAGTGATGTTGCATCTATTTGCGTATTTTATCGCATTTACCACGGGGAGTGCCCTGCTGAATTGTACCGGAATAATTCCAGCCGCACAATTTTACAAAACACGCCATACCATCCATACCATCTGGTTGACTGGCGTTCCACCACTGTGCGATTTAAAAGAATGATCCTTCCTTGCATAACTTTCTTATGGAATCGACTACCACCAAAGACTTTTTACGGACGGATACGACTTAGGGACCTTGAAGAAAAGAGCCTACTAATTTTTAAAAGACCGGCAACACATCTGCAATTCCCCTGGTGTTGCAGTTCTTCATGGGCGGCAGTAATCACTTACCATCAGGGGACCCGTATGCTCGTTTAATTGTTTAGTTGTAAAATAAAATGTGCTGCAATCACTATTTCATTTTCTTTTTGGCGCAATATAGTTTTTTAACTATTCTTAACTATTTTTTCTTTAAACTTCATTAAAATATTAGAGTTTTAGGGATTTTCTTAATACTACCAGGAAAAAGTCCTCTTAATATATTCCTTAAAAGCATATCGCTCTCGGAACTATTTGTCATGTGCTAAGTGATTTCTTTACTGCACTGCAACATGTTCCGTTCTGTATATTCATCGAAGATCTGCACGTATATACTCTACATGGTTATAGAGTACTTATTTTAATACGTATTTTCTATGTCTTTTTAAGAGCTACACTAAAATTAAAAAAATAATATGGTAAATAAAGAAAACATAGGTACTTAAAAAAAGCCAACAATGGTGGTACTTACTTTATATGAGATTTTTTAAGCTAAGTCTGTTTGCTTTGACACCTTCGGTCACATAACCTCGGTCACTTACTAATAAAAGTATAATATTTGTTAATTATATAGAGTTGTTGATTAGTTAACGCAAAAAATATTACAACAAAAACTATTAGATGGCTATTAAAAAGATTATATTTAATTTAAAAAATTAAAGTACGGTCACCAATTATCTTTCAGAGACAACGTTATTGTAAGTAAGAATAAAACAAACAAACAAAAAAAACAAATGCAAACTTTTTCATCAAATGCCATCATTATATGCATGCAGTAAACCCATGATTGATGAAAAATCGACCAATCTATTTAAAAATGCTGAGTAAAGGTATTGCTCAGTGCTTGGTGGGGTTGAGCAAAAGTATTGGCACTGCCATCGCTAACCCACCTGAACAGTGTGGGCAAATCTTTATAGAGACGCCTGCCAGTTGGTGTATTATTATGTTTATGTTAAAATGAAATAAGATCTGTGAATAAACATGTAGGCAACACTGGATGTCGTAGCTCTGATATTCATCATTTATCGTAAAATTGTGTTGTTACGGTTATTCATTCATCAATAACAATCATCATTACATCCTATCAAAAATCCATTGCTGAACACAAGTCATAGGTCAGACTAATAGACTATCAGTCACGGGATTAAACGAATATCTTACGTTTTGTTGTTAAACGGTATATATACCACTTTTAATGCTCGAAAATCGAATGGATAGAACTGTCAGTCGGTTCAAAACGTAGCGAATCTCTTTGTTTGAAGCCTTCCCAAACATCATTTCATTTCATTTTTATTTAAAGCTTTATTAAAGTTATTTCGTTTTGCAGTATTCAAATGAAGTTTTTCGGTCTCTTTATAAACAACATGTTTTCTCAATGTCGTTCTGTACAAAGAACGTGTTGATAATTTTGAGCAAGTAGATTCTATTATTGGTGTCTATTATTTACTATATAATCCAATATAATAAATAAAGTCTTAGCAAGTAAGTTTTGTCCTAATAGCACGTTAATGATTCTTGTTTGGAGAAGAGGCAATGTAAACAAAAATCAATTATTAAAATTTATTACTTAAATACTTTAAATGTACATAAAATTATCTTGTATAAATTGCCTTACATACGCAGTTGGCTACAGAAAAAAATAAAAAGATATGATTTAAATTTATTAATGAATAATTTGTCATTTAAGAATAATTTCAATTTGACATTTAATTGTAACAATTATAATAGAATTAATTTAATAGACATTAATAATTTAACTAAGAAATTTTTGACTACAGATAGGTATTATAATTTAATACAGGAAGCAAATGTGCTATCTTCTTATTTATATATTAACTCATCCCAGGACTTGGCTACCCAGACATCTGCTCCTATTGAGCAGCATAATGGTTTGACATGCAATTTGAAATCAGTTTCAAGTAATTAAAATTAGAAAATAAGACAATAGAGGTAATCTCTAGCAGTTATAATAATTTAAATTATTTATAATATAGCTTACAAATTCTTGACAAGTGCAACTTTATGACTCCACAAAATGATAATAATTTTATTCACACCTGGTGCATCAAAATATACTTTACATGCTCATAACTTAATGTTTGACTTCGTAATCAACAGGTGATTATTCCTTTCAATAGAGAAACGGTTTTAGGAAGTGGCCCCTTAATTTTAACTAGTAAATTATTATCATGTAAAGAACGTTAAGACATTGTGAGCCTCTCTGTTGAAATGGCGTGTGTTGAGTTGAGAGTTGAGCACCAAATTGTTGAGAGCCTCTACAGACCTCCATGTTCTATATACGATACTTTTGAAGTAATTGTGAAGGAAGTTTTTGTTAAGCTCAATAAACAGAATAAATCTGTTATTATATGTGGAGACTTTAATATCAATCGCCTAGAAGCTTCCTCCATCAATATTAATTTTAGATCATTGTTTAAATCATAAGGTCATTTTAATTTATTTTTGAAGCCAACGCGTATTGTTGAATCTGGTGCGTAGATAACATTCGGCAACTATGTTGGCGATTTTGATGAAGGTGACGATGATGACGTTGATGACAATGATAATGACGATGACGATGACGAAGACGATGATAATAATGACGATGTCGATGACGATGACGATGACGATGATGATGATGATTATGACAATGATGATTACAATGACGATGACGATGACGTAGAAGATGACGATGATGACGATGACGATGTCGATGACGATGATGATGACGATGTCGATGACGATGACGATGACGATGACGATGACGATGACGATGTCGATGACGATGACAACGACGTTGACAAATTTGATGAAGATGACGATGAGGACGTTGATGACGATGATGACGACAATGACGATGACAATGATGATTACGATGTCGACGATGATGATGACGATGTAGATGACGATGATGATGACAATGACAATTTCGATGACGATAACAACGATGTTGACAATTTTGATGAAGATGACGATGAGGACGTTGATGACGATGATGATTACGATGTCGATGACGATTATGACGATGACGATGACCATGGTGATAACGATGACGATGACGAAGACGAAGACGATGATGATGATGATGACGAGGATGATGACGATGTCAACGATGTTGACGATTACGATGATGATGACGATGATGATGGAGACGATGTCGATGACGATGATGTTGAACATTACGATGAAGATGACGATGATGACGACGACGACGATGATGATGATGATGATGACGATAATGATGACGATGATGATGACAACGATGTTGACGATTACGATGAACATGACGATGTCGACGTTGATGACGATAATAGTGACAATGACGATGACGATGACGATGACTGTTATTATTAAATGAAAATACTATCCTTTTCTAAAGAATTTAAACAAACATTTATTAGTGACAAAATACAACACTTTATACTAATAATGACCACAAGGTAGAGAGAGTGCTTTTTATCATAGAGTATATAATAATATACAAGAGCACAGATTATAGAAGGCGCAAATTTTTATTACAACACACCCCCTAAATTAATGCCTTCTAGTTGTTAATTTTTACATTTCAGACATAATGCAAACAATAAGTTTAGTATTTAAGTATTCTTGACTACATGGCAAGATTTAATTCCAATTTTATCTCCAAGATAACAAAATTTTATTTTACACAAAGGTTTGGTAAAAATATCAGTACATTGCTGATCACTGCATATATAGTTTAGCTCAATAATTTTATCATAATATTTTTCTTTTATAAAATGAAACTTAATGTCTATATGTTTACACCGTTTGTGAAAGTTTATGTTTTTAATTACATTTATAGCACTTTGATTATCTAGATTTAAGCACACTGATTTTTGATTAAATTCACCGATGTCACATAACAGTTGTTTGACCCACATAGCCTCTTTAGTGGCGGCACAGGCTGCCATGAATTCTGCTTCAGTGGTTGACAGGGCCACTGTCTGTTGTTTCTGACAAGCCCAAGTCACTGTTGCTCCATTTTTAATAAAGACATATCCCGTGACTGAACGTCTTGTGCTAGGGTCGTTAGCGAAATCTGCATCACTGTAGCCAACTACTACATTAGGCTCTGACATTGGTGTGTAGCATAGGCCATAACCTTTAGTCTCTTTTAGATACTTTAAAAAAAATTTCACAGCATTCCATTGTGTTTCATTGTAAGAGTTTAAAAATCGACTCACCAGGCTTACTGCGAATGAAATATCAGGTCGGCTTACTGTAGCTAGGTGCATCAATGATCCAACTGCTTCCCGATATTTGATGTTCTTTTCTGTTTCTCCTTCTCCTTTCTCAAACTTCATATGTGGCTCAACTGACAACGTAATGGCTGATATGAAGAAATCACTGGACGAACTCAAACTTGGAGATGGAGCTACAGCTCCCGTAGTAGCTACAACACCTTCGACGGTACCTCTTCCTGTTCAGCCTACAAAATCCAGTTCGAGGCTGTTATGAAGGCGAACGGCTGGAATAAAAGTCAGGCCATGACTGCTCTCACACTAGGCCTGCGCGACCAGGCCTTAACAGTTCTCGAAACTCTCGGTGAGGAAGTGACTTATGAGCAACTCTTTGAGGCATTGGAGGCGAGATATGGCGACGCTCACCTGGAACACGTCTTTCGTGCGCAGCTTAAAGATCGCGTGCAGCGCATCAACGAAAACCTGCAGCAGTGGGCTCTAGAGGTGGAGAAGCTGGTGCGAAAAGCATACCGGTCTGTACCTGCGCTCATTGAAGGGAACCTGGTGCAGACATTCATCGACGGCATCCGCGACCTGGAAGTCAGAGCTGCTGTGAGGCTCGGGCACCACGAGACGCTTAAGGACGCCTTGGCCCATGCACTGGAGGTGAAAGCCGTGCGGCAGGATCTTCGCTCCTATCGCGCCAGGGAGGTTTCAGCAGCTACGGTTGCGCAATAAAGGATACAGCCCTAGGTGCTATGGCTGTGGGGAAAGGGGCCATCTTCAATCCAGCTGCCCTAAGCGAACCCTAGAAAGGGAAGGTGAACGATCTCAGAAGGGAAGTGCGGCTAACATCACCGCCCAGCAGCAGCCGGGATACGACTTTACTATCAGACATCGCAGCGGGAAATCTCATGGCAACGCAGATGCATTGTCAAGAAGACCTTGTCCTGAAGCTTGGAAACATTGTACTAGGCTAAAGAGTAAGGAAGTGGTATCCGTGAGGATGCTCAGGACAGACCACCTCAGCAACGAGTGGAAGGACAGCCTACGACATGCACAGCAGGAAGATCCGGACATCAAGCCGATTCTGGAATGGATGAAGGCCCGTGCTACCAATCCTAAGTGGAGCGACGTCTCAGCGATGAGTTCAACCTCGAAAAGCTATTGGGCCCAATGGGACAGCTTGCTGATTCAGGATGGAGTCCTGTGCCGTAAATGGGACAATTGTCGAGGAGACAGCTGTCGTTTGCAAATGGTTGTCCCTAAAACTGTGCCGTGTGTCTACAGCTGTGCCATAATGGTCGTTCAAGAGTCCATCTGGGAGTTAAACGAACTCTGCTGAAGGTCCCAGAACAGTTTTACTGGGTCCATTATCGTGACAATGTCGAGGCTTGGTGTCGTACATGTGCAAGTTGTGCGGCCGTGAGGGGACCTCAGACACGTAGTAGAGGAGCACCGAAATTGTACAATGTTGGTGCACCATGGGATAGGACAGCCCTTGACATTCCGGAGCCGTTACAGAAAGGCGCAAGAGGGACTTCTAAGATTGTCCATGTGGATCGCCTGGCGCGTTATTATGGGGCCGATAATGCTCGGGACGAGCATGTCTTAGGAGGGGGCAGTATTACGCGCTCCTAGTCAACGATGCACTAGCTCCATCTAGTGTCGGGTAACGTAGCGAGGGGAGAGCTTTCCAGAAAATTACATCACTAATCTTTCAACCGACAGCGCCATCTGTTGTCGAAAGGAAGAACTAAGCTTCTGGAAGCTGACTCTCGAACTTTCGGCGCTTTGTCGATTGGTGCGCGTATTTACTTGAATGTTCTGGATGATTCGGTACTAATCTGTATTTATAGGCGCTGCAAGGTGCGATCGGAGAAGTATTGAATTTGGCGAGACAAGCGAAGCTTCGGAGCGGAATAAAGTGAATCCGTGTGATTAATTATTTGTGTTTTAAGTTTAAATTTGTGTAAAGAAAATTAAAGTGTTAATTTAGGTAATTTTATCGGCAATTTTTATTATCACGAACCTCAAGCTCGTAACAATAATTTACAATCAGGTGTACTCTTCTCTTTGTCGCACATATAGTGAAAATCAACATGGTTTCTTAAAAAACAGATCCGCTGTGTCAAACCTTATTATTTGTTCCGACAATCTAACTAGCTTTATGTTCAAACCAGCACAAGTTGACGTAGTATATATAGACTACTGCAAAGCATTCGACAGAATTGATCATTTAATTCTTTTACGTAAACTCCTTACAATGGGTATCAGAGGTGATTTGTTCAGATGGTTTACGTCATATATCAGAAATCGAAGTCAATCTGTCGTCCTCGTTCCTGTACAATCCATATATCGTCTGGCGTACCGCAAGGATATAAGGTCCTTTGCTCTTCTTAATTTTTATCAATGATATCGATACGTGTTTTAAAAGTTCCAAGGTTATTCTTTACGCTGACGATATGAAAATCCTATGTCCTATTACAGATTTGGAAAGTTGTTCAAGCCTTCAAAAGGATCTCTATAATTTAGAAGCGTATTGTTTTAACAATAAACTTGATCTAAATGTTTCTAAATGTTTTGTCTGCTCATTTACTCGTAAACCTAATCCTATAATATATAATTATAAATTACACCATACTGTTCTAAATAGAACCAGCACTACCAGAGATCTAGGTGTTACCTTTGATTCAAAATTGCTGTTTGACAATCACGTTGATGATATTGTTACAAAGGCTAACAAAGCGCTAGGTTTTATATTAAGATTATCGGCAGATTTTAAAAGTATAAAAACTTTCAAAATTCTTTATTGCGCTTTTGTACGCAGCCACTTGGAATATGCCTCTGAAATTTGGAATCCTAAATATAATGTATATGTTGATAGGATAGAGCGCATACAAAAAAGATTTTTGCGTTTTCTTCAATTTAATTCAAAAAAAGTTTATACCCAACTATACTCTTCGATGTAAAAAATTTCATATCTTAACTTTATATAAGCGCAGAAATATTGCAGATCTCTCTTTCCTCTCCAAAATTGTTAAAGGTGTTGTTGATTGCCCTGAACTACAGGGTAAATTAAGTTTACGTACCTCATCATCTAACTTGCGGAAACCTAAACTTTTATCGGTACCATACGTGAAAAGTAATTATAGACAAAACTCTTTTATTATTCGATCATGCAAATCGTTTAATGCTACAGCACATATCCACAACGTGGATATTGACTTATTTCATTCCAACGTTCCCCAACTTAGGCGATTACTTTCTAACAATTTCTTTTCTTCTCGATAGTGTACTGTTACTTGCCATATACTTGTACATATCTGTTTTGATACAATCTTGTTTATTATAAAGTAGTATATAAGTGAAAACTGTAAATGGCCTTCATTTTTGTTATAATTATATTATTTTTGTAAATTAGCTGTAAGTTTTACAAATAAATAATAAAAAATAAGCAAGTGTATAAGCAAATATTATAAGCAAAATAATATAAAAGCAAGTATATAAGTAAGTTTATGAGCAAGTAAGTAAGCAAGTATATAAGCAATATATAAGGAAGTATATAAGCAAGTATATAAGAAAGTATGTAAGTTAGTAAATAAGTAAGTATGTTACTAAGTATATTAGTTAGTTTGTAGATATACAAGTATATATGTAAGTGTATATGTAAGTATATAGGTAATTATACAATTAAGTATATACGCAAATATATAAGCAAGTAGATAAGGAAGTATATGTATATAAGTAAGTATATAAGCAAGTATATCGCAAGAATATAAGCAAGTATATAAGTAAGTATATCAGCATAGTACAAGCCAGTACATAAGCGAGTATACAGGTAACTAAAAAAAGTAATCATATAAGCAATTATATAAGTGAGTATATAAGCAAGAATATAAGCAAGTATATCAGCAAGTATATATGTAAGTATATAAGCAAGTGAATAAGCATGTGTATAAGCTAGAAAATAAGCATGTATGTAATTAAGTATATAAGTCAGTATATAAGCAATTATAAAAAGTAATCATATAAGCAATTGTGTAAGCGAGTATAAAAGCAAGAATATAGGCAAGTAAATCAGCAAGTATACATGTAAGTATATAGGTAATTAATATAAGCAATTATATAAGTGAGTAAATAAGCAAGTAT